TCATCGGCGGGGACATTGACAAAGTCATCGACACGCTCACTCAATCCGTCGAGAGCGTCGGCAAGAAAGCCCTACGCCGGTCATCTACAGCTGACCTGGGTACAGACTGCCGCAGCAACCTTCGCGGCGTTTCCAGATGCTATGGCGCCGTTGTTTTCCAGTCTTCCCCCGCTGAGGGCACCGGCAATTACTGGAATTATACCTTGCGCAGCGATGGCGCACTGCGATCAATGGTCGTCGACGTCGACTCGGACAGGAATGATGCCCAGATCTACCTCTTACCTCTGCAACGTGCAGTTGATGCTGCCATCGCCAAAGTCGCCAGTTCCAACTCCTCCTCGCAAGTCCAGCAAGGCCCTCTGCCCAACACGGTGACCGAATATCCCTTTACGAGCATGACCCAGGAAGAACGTGCCATTCAGATTCGTGTCCGGTACCAGAGCGCCATTACCAACTGGATGGGCGTTGCCTTCATGACCAGCGTCTTGTTTGTTACTTACCATCTCACCGGATTCATCGCGACCGAGCGTGAGAGTGGCATGACCCGACTCCTCGATGCCATGATGCCTGTCAAGCAACGATGGCATGCCCAGGCAGCCCGCATCGTTTCCTATCATTTCGCATTTGTGCTCATCTACCTTCCTGGATGGATCATCGGTTCTCTGGTACTTCGAGCCGGTGTCTTTGCTCGCACGAGTGTGGCCACTGTTCTGGTCTATCATGTTCTCAACGGAATAGCCATGGCCTCTCTTTCCATCTTGGCCTCCTCTTTTTTCAAAAAGGCCCAAATCAGCGGCATCGCTGCTGTTCTGATCATTATCATACTTGGAATTCTCGCCCAATCCATTTCCTACCCTAGCACCGCCACTGTTGGTATTCTCAGCTTCCTATTCACGCCTTGTAATTATGTGTACTTTGTTACATACATGGCCCGTTACGAATCAGGCGACGCTCCGACGAATCTTACACAGGTTCCTCCGGGTAGCCCGTGGCAACTCACTGGAATCGTGTTATGGGTATTTCTGGTCATCCAGATATTTGGGTATCCCCTTCTTGGGGCAGTCATCGAGTCGAGACTGCACGGCACTACCACCCAGGGTAGAAACGTCGTGTTCGGCTCGGCCAATGACCCAGCAACCGAGGCGGCTGTCCGTATCGAGGGCTTCAGCAAAATTTATAAGCCCTCGGCACTGCGTCGCATGTTTTCCTTCATTTCGCGCCCTCGCGAACCTGTTGTCGCTGTCAACAACTTGACTCTGAACATCCGTCGAGGCCAAATCCTCGCCCTTTTGGGCGCCAATGGCAGTGGCAAATCTACAACCTTGGACTCCATTGCCGGCACCAACAAACTGACGAGCGGTGCTATCACCATTGATGGCACCGGCGGGCTGGGAATTGCGCCTCAGAAGAATGTCATGTGGGACGATCTCACTGTTGAGCAACATATCCAGATCTTTAATAGGCTCAAATCGCCGAAAGATCTTGCGTCGAAACAGGAAGTTCGCGACCTCATCAAATCGATTGACCTTGAGCTGAAGCGGAAAGCCATGTCCAAGACTCTGTCCGGGGGACAAAAGAGAAAGCTCCAGCTGGGCATGATGCTCACGGGAGGTAGTGCTGTCTGTTGTGTCGACGAAGTCAGCAGCGGCATCGACCCTCTCAGTCGGCGAAAACTCTGGGACATCCTCTTGGCCGAGCGAGGGCGCCGCACAATCGTCCTTACAACTCACTTCTTAGACGAAGCCGATCTGCTGGCTGACCACATCGCCATCTTGTCGAAAGGTACACTACGTGCTGATGGATCTTCCGTCGAACTGAAAGACCGTCTTGGCGGTGGATATCGCGTTCATGTTCATAAGGACACTGGCATTAAGAATGGCCCTGATGTCCACGGTGTTCAAAAGAAGATCTCGTTCGATCTTGTCAGTTATATCGCGCCATCCTCAACCCTGGCTGCTCAGGTTATCCGCACCTTAGAGGTCAACGACATCCATGAATACCGATTCTCTGGGCCTACAATTGAGGATGTATTCCTGCAACTGGCAGAGGAGGTCCGAGGAGAAGCAGGAGACTTCCCGTCCGCGTCTGACACGACGTCGGAATACAACGAGAAGAAAGTAGCATCAGACGAGGCTCATACTACTGGCGCCGCATCTCCGGGAGGGTTAAAACTTCTTGACGGCAATCGCATTGGTTATATGCAGCAAGCAGCCGTTCTCTTCCGGAAGCGCATCACCATCCTCAAGACCAACTGGATTCCGCACTTCGCCGCCTTCATTCTCCCCGTAGCAGCCGCCGGCCTCGTCACTTTGTTCATCAAAGGCCAAAACAAGCCGGGATGCGCACCCTCTGAAGAGCGTTCGCTCGACCAAACCCAGGGTTTCAGTCTCACAGACTTCACATGGAAACTGGTTCTTGGGCCATCTTCGAAGTTGGACTTCAACACCGCCGCAAGCGTTCTTCTGCCGGTTTTCAACGCAGCCTCTGGAAGCGGTGGCTTAGGATCCACTACGGGCACTGGACTAGGTTTTGCAAGGCAACTGCTTGAAGAGAATGCCACATTTACTGAAACATTCGACTCTTTCAAAAGCACTATTGTTGAGCGGCGGGTTGAAACACTGCCAGGTGGTCTTTGGTTTGGGGATGGCGGCATGGAACCTACCATCGCATATATGGCTAACTACAACGGTCTTATCAATCCGTTGCTGACCCAGAATCTCATGAATATGCTCCTCAGCAATGTCACACTCATGATCGCTTGGGCACCCTTCGCCACTCCTTGGGACCCTGACACCGGCAACTCCCTGCAATTCCTCGTTTACACCGGCATAGCTCTCTCGGCTTACCCCGGGTTCTTCGCCCTGTACCCGAGTCTGGAACGCCGGCGGATGGTTCGAGGCCTTCAATATTCCAATGGTGTTCGACCATTGCCTCTATGGCTTGCTTATCTCGCGTTCGACTTCATCGTTGTACTCGCCTCCACAGTACTGGTGACTATTCTCTGGGCGACCCTTTCAAACATCTGGTATCATGTCGGCTATATCTTCCTCGTATTCATGCTTTACGGGCTGACCGCTATCCTTCTGGCCTATGTCATCTCTCTTTTCTGTAAGACGCAGCTTTCTACATACGCTTGGGTTGCCGCAGGGCAAGCAGTCATGTTCCTTGTCTATCTGGTTGCATACCTCTGTACGGTAACGTTTGCGCCGGTGACTCGGGTTGACGATTATCTGCTTGTCGTCCACTTCGTCATCTCCGCCGTCGCGCCCATTGGCTCGGTTGTTCGAGCTATGTTCTTGACTCTGAACCTGTTCTCAACAGCCTGTGATGGTCGCCAGCTTGCGCCCAATCCGGGCGGAATGCTCCAATACGGTGGCCTCATATTGTACCTAGTCGTCCAGTCCATTCTTCTCTTTGGCATCTTGGTATGGGCTGACAGTGGTTCTGTTGGCTCGTCCATACGGCGACTTTGGCAACGTCGACATCCTGAACCTGAAGATCCTAGCTCGTCCGATGAGGAAGTGGCAAATGAGCTGAACAGAGTCACGACGACACAAAACAACGATGATGGGCTTAGAGTAATGCATCTAACGAAGACTTTCGGCAAAAACACTGCCGTTGATAATGTCACCTTTGGCATTCAGCGTGGAGAAGTCTTTGCTCTCCTAGGACCAAATGGAGCTGGCAAGTCGACGACTATTTCTCTGATTCGCGGAGATCTCAAATCAAGTCGTAATGGTGGCGACATACTGGTCGAGGATAAGTCTGTGATCCACGACTTGCCGGCTGCGCGGGCGCACCTTGGTGTCTGCCCTCAACACGATGCGATGGATCTAATGACAGTGCGCGAACACTTGGAATTTTACGCTCGCGTCCGCGGCATTCCCGATATCGACCACAATGTCAACGCCGTGATTCACGCAGTTGGGCTCCAGGCTTTTTCGACGCGCATGGCCCACGCGTTGTCGGGCGGTAACAAGCGCAAACTAAGCCTCGGTATCGCGTTGATGGGCAATCCGACCGTGGTATTGTTAGACGAGCCTTCTTCGGGTCTGGACGCCGCTGCGAAGCGTATCATGTGGAAGACGCTAGCGGCCACGGTTCCTGGGCGATCTCTCCTGTTGACGACACACAGCATGGAGGAGGCCGACGCCCTTGCGAGCCGGGCCGGGATCTTGGCGAAACGTATGCTGGCACTTGGCACGACAGACAGCCTTCGGCATCGCTTCGGAGATGCCCTTCACGTGCACCTGATCAGCAAGACGGCGCCACATACCACCCTGGAAGAAACAGAGAGGCTTCGTGACTGGGTTAAGAAAATCCTACCTGGGGCTGAAGTGGAGGAGAAGACTTACCACGGCCAAATGCGCTTCTCCGTGCCAGCGAGCGAAGTTCTGAGCGCGTTCAGTGGCCACAAAGTTGAAGAAATCAAGCGGGCGGACCAGGATGTATCTTCCAGCGCCGTTGGTCAGCTGGCTGTCATGTTGGAGGAGCAACGCGAGAACCTGGGTGTCATGCATTACAGCGTCAGTCCCACAACACTGGACCAGGTGTTCCTCACAATTGTTGGAAAGCACAATGTTCAGGAAGAAGGCTATAAAGAGCCGGAAAGGAGGTCCTGGTGGCGTGTTGGGCGATGAGCGGGTGAGAAACACCAAAAATGAAAGATCATGTGAGCACGTAGAACACAACTCAAGAGATACCCAAATGCGAGAGGCAGGGAGGCCTTGATAGATTATTACTTGATTATTAACCGGGGTATTAAAAAGTCGATAGATGCCATCCTGTATCCAAGACATCGAGAACTTCGTTTTTCAATCAAAAGTGGACGTTTTCCTCCCGTTCGGCACCCTCTGGCACACGTTATAGACGACAGCGGCATCTCGGAAGCCTCTTGACGATACATTATTCACTCTTCCGATTACCAGCCCAGATCCCATAGAAACTTTTTGCTGTTGAACGAGGATCACTCTCGAATCATGTCAGATCACAGAGCCATTTCAGCGTATCTCTCTTCGGCCCTGAGATCCTTTGCTGGAAGAAGGGGACCATGTCGGTCTGGGGCTCGTGGGGCTGAAGTTCGATTTGACGGGGGTGATTGCGTCCTCTCGTACACTTGCCAAACCAAAAATACTTTCGGTCGAAGCGGTCTGGTGCTGGTTTGAATAAGGCGACACGTGGGTGGCGGACTTGTCTTCCTTCGCGTGGCTCGACCGCGCGCTTGAGACAGCCGACTCCGTGGTGGCCATCTCCACGTCGGGCTTGACGATGGCTGGTGGATACGCACTCGTGGGGAATGTGCCACGGGTATCGCGGGTGCCACGAGTGTCTGAGTGCAAGGAGTAGTTCACCCTAGCCATCATCCTCGGGAACAGTTTGGTCATGAGGGGTCGCAGAGTCGGAAGGCAGGCGCAGGTAACGGCTGAAGAGATCTCTCCAAGCGACCAGAGAGAAGCTTCCACATTGGTCCAGGTGAAGTCCTGTTGAATGCTGAGATATTTGGTGCGGACAATAGAGACGGCCACAGTACTGGGAACTGTTAGAAAACCGACATGCTGCGTCGAACGATCGGGGACAAAATTGTAACCACTCACAAAAATCCGAGGCTGAATATCCCCATGAGGAGCAGCTTCTGCTTCCTGGGGAGACTAAGATGCCAAAATATGGGCAGAGGAAGTGCAAAGACGGCGACATCGGTGGCAATATTTCCCGCCGCATTCACATACCACTGTGGCTGGTTAGGGATGCAATATGCCTTGATGGCCTTGTCCCAGAACCCTTCGACGGGTATACAGGTGAAGGTAGCGATGAGAAGCTGGGAAACGGCCCATGCCCCAACCACGACGATTGCGACAGCGTAAATTCTCCTCATCTTCGGAACAGCCATGATTCGGTAATACTGGAACAGAAAAGACAATTTTATACAGAGAAGCGCAATGTTGTAGAAGACGATGGAGACAAAGAAGGTCTGGAGAGCCGTGTGAGCGAGCACCCAACAGATCAAATTTGAACATATCTGGTAGGGAAAGGGCCGAAACTCACGTGAAGGTACTCCGGGATCTCTGCTTTGTCCAGTGTTGAGATATGTCTCCCGAGGCCATGTTCAGTCACTGCCGTCCGCATTAGCCAACATGAACAGGACCCTCTTGTTCAAGGAGGTTTGTGACATGACATACTTGCTGCAATAGCAGTTCCACAGCCTATCAAAGCCAACTTTCCTCAGACCAGTCAGTCCTTCGTCTTTCCAGCCAGCACGTTGTTGGCATGACTCACAAGTCCAGCGATAGCAAGAACGTCATCAATGCCGAACAGTTCAATGACCTTTGTTCTCGTGTAAATCCGTAGACCCACCAGCGTGGTAGGAAACATGATACAGAAGACTACGGAGCCGATGACAACTCCTCTCTGGTCTTCGTACGAGTCTGCAGGAAGCTTTGCCATACTCGTCTTCGCTGGCGATCGGTAGTTTTGGCTAAGGCAAGATGAAGAATTGGAGAGCGTGAACATGCCAGCTTAAGCAGTTGTTGACTTGGCGGGCAGCACCTACTAAACAGGGTGATTACGGGGGAAAGAATGCGTTATTGAATAGAGCCAAACTAAAAGATGCACATCGCAGGCCCCCTCTTCCAAAAGACAAGTCATGAACCACTGCGAGCAGGGGCTCAAAATAGGATGACGGGAAGGGGAAGACAGAGTTCCGAACAGCATTCACGCGAAGGAAGTGTGTCTGCGGAGCACACCACCATTCTTCGCCATCATGACCGAGTCATTTTCGTCACACCAATAGGTTCGTAACGCCGAGACTCTGATCCCAGTTGGCGGCAAGAAAAGAGGAAACGAAAAAAGAAACAGGTCGACTGGGCCGTCCCTCGTTCAGATGAGCGAGTATCACGCACGGCGAAACGGAACCCGCAATCAGACTTACGAACTAGAGAGACTCGATTCACCAAAATCGCCAGATGGAACTAGGGATGAGCCCAGCTGGTCAACGACAAGTTGGCTGCCCGTCTGTCTGCCTTGGCCTTCTTGATGATGGCGAAGTAAAGTCCGTGCTTTTTCCCTGATTCTGAATTCACATCCATCTCGATGAAGGTTGGCCAAGGGAAGGGAGTAGCGAGGCAAGGCATGGAAGAGAGCCGCATGGGGTTCGCGGGAAAGTAGAGTTTGAACCAAATAGAAAGATTAAGCGCGGAAGAGGCGAAAGAGCGAGGAGGGTGAAGATGTTTAGCGTGTGAACTACTCTGGTGTTACTATGGATCGAGAAAGCAGACAGCGGGGGGCTTTGACTTTGACTTTCTTACTTCGCGGCACCTACATTTGTCCGCCCATTGAGCCGGGTAGACCATGCTCCAAGAGGTCCCCTCAGCTGCGAGTTCAAACCTCACCAGCTAGGGAAGGATACGAGCGGTGGACAGCAGCAAGAACCACGTCAATCAAGCTTTGAGTGTAAGAGAGAGAGCAGCGCACGGGTATCTCAACCCGCGATGGCAGCGGAGAACCTTGTTTGGCAGACAGGTGGTGTGCCGGGTCTGCGAATGAGAACACAAAGTCCGATGCTTGACTGAACGCTCAGTCCGCGTCCTCTCTCCTGAACTGATGGCCCGTCTAGCCTTTGTATTCTGTCTTCGAAATTGCGTTTTTCGTCATCTTATAGTCATCCGTCCAACCACCCACTCCTGGATTTTTTCCGCTGTCTCTGCCGTCCGGATCTTGCTATTTCCGGAAATCATTCGGAAGAGGATATTGTCACGAAACGGCATAGGAAAAGATGAGATATAGGGGGCCCAAACACGGGAGGAGGGTGTCGAGAAGCGACTTTGTATCATCAGTTGATTTACTGAACTTTATCGACTTTTCTGTCTTCATCACTATCGGTTGTCAATGGGTTACACCGGAAAACGCACGAGAACCAGGAGGTGGTCTTGCTTACAGCCAGCCGTAGTCGCGGCAACATCATCAGATGCGCCGTACTCGCCTAGCCCTGCCTGCTCTCTGAATGCGCTGATGCACTTCTCGGCCTATGGACGGAGCATGAGTCGCAAACATCGTTGATTCTGCAACTGAGAGTTGTATATTCGAGGGTAGCCGGTCCTGGATGAGCCAGTTCCCATCATGCGCCCGTTATTGAGCGGCCAGGTCCCGGAGCTTTGGTACCTAGGTAGGAACAGATTCCCAAACCTATGAAAGGGGCCCTGGGGTTGAGGGGAGGGGAGGCCCGTCTACTCCGTATGTTGTCCCATCCCTACCTTATCTGAGGCGCCATAATGCTTGGATCTACTCATGAGCAAGACGCACAGTCGCGGTGTTGTTGTCTCCCGCCTGTGCTCTATTGCCACTGATTGATCAAACTCGGATCCTGGCTCCTCCTCTGTCTTCCGCACATCGTCTGTGACAATTGGCAGTCGGCACGGTATGAGAAAATGTTTTGTACAAGCTTTAGGATGTTACATATGTGACGAACTCCAAAGTACACATCCACTGGAAGGCATGCCATATGAGCGAGACAGAGTCAAGATCCCTGCCTTCTCCTTCACTACTAACATCGCATGCTCCTGCTAATGGTGCAACTAGGGCTGTGCCATGGTGACGACAATTAGCTCAGAAGCATCTCTTTCTCGACAGGAATGGTGTATGTGCCACGTGGAATTCGAAATGGACAAGGTCGTCAGTACATTTCTCTTGTTACTACACGTTCTTCTGGTGTACATCTGCCACGGCCGTTAGCACTGTCGGGAGATCAGTTTGCTTGTGTACATTTGTTCTTCATGTGCCGTGAAGCTCTTTCCTTGTCTCGGCATGGCGAAGACCGTGCAGTGGTATATTGCCTCGAGGACAAAAAGCCGGGAGATATTTAATTTCGCAACCAAGAAAACGCCCACCATTGTCCGGCTTGTCGCTCCTACCCTTTCCATGCAATCCGTATGCTTTTGTCATGGTATATCCGTCCATTCCCTCCTTAGCTCTATATCGTCAAGTTTCAGCAAACCCTAGTCCGATTTTGAATCCAGTCCATCTCTTGAACTTCGCAGTGAACTCCGTAATCGCAAGACCCCATGGAGGCAGTTCGGCGCACGTTCTCTCGCCATCAAGTAGCACGGCACTCCTCCCCTTCGTAATACTGAGTGAAAACCAACACAGTCTGCTCTAGCTTTGCAAACCTTCACCATATCATCCTCATCAATCCGACCGCTCATCGAAGTTGTCCGAGCAGAGAAGCCTGAAATACAAACAACAGCCTCATGAGAAACAACAACGATGGACACAATCAAGCTGTGCTGTCTGCTTTTTTCGTGACTCCGTCTTGGCCTGTAGGTGTAGCCGATTCATCATCTGATGTTTCCTTGCCAAGGATCTTTTCTTCTTCACCAGAGCAGTCTCTGACATTGAACCACCCGCCGCGCTCCCACTGTCCTGGGGCATATAAACACGTTGCACGAGTGTCGTCCTCCACTATTCCCAAGAGTAAGGTATTGAGACGCCTGAAATCGATGGGCTTCAGAATCCATCCGTCGAAACCTGCACTGACGTATTTCTCTCTCTCACGCTCTATCAGGGATGCCGAAACAGCAAAAATGGGAATTCTGCCATTATGATTGGCGATGGAAGAGTGCCCACCGTGCTCACTAGAATTTTCGAAGGCTCGGATCATCTTGGTGCTCGTCAGACCATCAACTATCGGCATCTACGATGAGAAATTGGCTGTCAGCACAGGAATAACTAGGGACCGACCGGGAGCACATACCTGCATGTCCATCAAGACGACATCAAAGGCACTAGACTTTTCACGATAAACCGTCGCGCAGTCTTCGCCGTTTACAGCATGTGAAACTTGATGGCCTGATTTCTCCAGGCGCTTCCGCAGAATTCGTGAGTTGATGGGGTCATCCTCGGCGATAAGGACTTGCAACTTGGTAGTATCTGGCCCTGAGACGACACTTGTGGCCGTTCCAATTGTACCGCTTTCCGAGGCTGCACCATGCTTGTGTTTCTCTGATACTTCAAATAGCATTCGAGATGATGCGCTCTGAGGCAAAGAGGACGGTGGTTCCAAGTACTCGTCAGGAATTTTGACCGCCCTGATGGGAGTTTTCGTATCCTTCACGCTACTAAAGCCCACTTCAGTCCGTGATGAGGAGTCTATTGCAGGACCATTCTTCTGGCTTGTCCGCACCGAATTTGGCGATCCCGTGACGCTAACATTTGAAGAGTTGCCGTCTGAGGACTTTGGTCGATAGAGTGTTTCCCTGGAGAATTGGCGCTGAGCAACTGGTCGGCTCATGTCCACCTCTCCAATAGACAATGGCGTTTGAATGGCGTCTATCAAGCGATCCGCATCACTCCGAGAACTCTTGTCGCTAGCTCTGCTGGTCCCTGTGGCGACGCTCTTCTGACTCTCGAGACTTCTGGTTTCCGCTTTTGGACCCGAATCCACAGGCATCATTTTTTCAAACCCATCATTTTGTTCCGTTTGCTTGCTTCCGCGATCAATGAGCATGAGTTCGCCGTCGTTGTCAGGCATGACCGCAGTAGTCACGGATGCTACGCTGGAATCTGCAGCTGACTCCGAATGCCTTAGGCCTTCAACTGGTGCTGGCGCGTCATCCGGGATATCGAAAGGCAGCTGTATGATAAATCGTGATCCTGTACCTTGTTCTGACTTGAGGCGCAGCTGGCCATCCATATTCCGAACGATTCTGGCAACGACGGCCAATCCAAGGCCCAAGATTCTATCTTCTTTTCCGGCTGCGTCATCCTTGGAAGGCAAGGTCGTTTCATCTAATTCGACGCTGACTTGCTCCAGATCTCGGAAGAGAGTGTCCAACTGCCTGGCCGTCATTCCTTTGCCTGTGTCTTCGACCAGAATTTCGATGCGTACACGTCGGTCAAGAACTTCGCTAACGTATAGTTCGACCTTGACATACCCATTAGCGGTATTTTGCACGGCGTTGGCTGCGACGTTGGAAATGGCCTGTCTGAGACGTCGGCTATCACCACATACGTGACGAGGAAGGCCGGGGTGTTCGATGACTTGGTACTCAATGCCCTTCCTCTTAGCGTCGTTGACAAATGGCTCTGTTGCTTCCCGTATGCACATGCCAAAGTCAAACACTTCATCCTTGACTAGGTTCTGGCCTTCCTCTGTTTGGGTGAGATCGAGTAGGTCGTTAATGACGTAAATCAGCGACTTAGACGCAGAGTGAGATTTTGCCAGATTGTCGCGAGTCTCTTGGTCCAGAGAGCCTTCCAACGCGATTTCCAGGTAATTGATGATGGCGTTTAAGGGGGTGCGTACTTCGTGTGCCGAATTTGCGAGCAGAAGTCGTGTAAGACGGCTGCTCTGCAACGCAGCTTCTTTCTGTCTCCACACTTCGATAAATTTGCCATAGACAAGACACAGCACAGCCGATGTCTCAACCTGTTCTTCGGACCACTCTCGACAC